TCCAGAGTAATAAATATCATATGGTTTTAAAGTTACACCCTGCACTATGAGTTAGCTGCTGAGTGCCTGTTTAGTAGAGAAAATGTAGTAAACCAATATCATAATTGAATAAAATTTAATCCAGATACAATACCAGTAGGTTACATTAAATGCCAATCACTAAGGAGAGAAAAAACAAAATCTTTCTGATAGTGTATCAATAACTCACAGTAACATTGGAAAAAATAATAAACTGTAAATTGCTTTTTGTATTGAACACATTCACCACCAAAACAGGAGGAAGAACTTTCTTTTTATAGAAACTTACATTGCTGTAGGAAATGTACCTTCTGGAATTCCAACTGAAAGGCAGAAAATGAGTGATATTTTCTATTTCTCCTGGGAGACATCTTTAAATTATCAAGGTAGGGACTCAGTAGGAAGCTATTTAACATACGAGTTTTATTGATCCTATCTGCCTTTGGAGTGAAATTTTGGCCTCAGCTGCCTTGATTTCAGCCACTCTTGCCTCTCCTTTTGCCACTTCTCAACCATTCTTTCAGTGTATCAGCACAGGTCAAAAGATGAACACAGGTTTACATGCACTGCTCCCACAATTCTGTTTCAGAACAGGCTAAGCAAATGCAACAATGCCAGGGCACTGGAAGGGGGCCTTTGTGGAAATAAAATTCAAGTCTTCACGTTAATGGCCTAGGGAAGACCTAAATAGCAGCTGACACCTCTGAGGTAGCCTCCACGGGTATCCTCAAACTGTTGACTGAACTCCCAAAGTCTTGTCCCAGCATGCACAGGATTCAGAGCTGGCTGCCTGAGAAGACAGTCGTTTCAATCTTCTAGTTTGGAAGTGACTCTGACACAGTGATAGATCCAGATTCACTCTTTCAGTTGAATGAATGAAAATCATTTCTTGAAACCAGAACTACAGATAAGCTAAAATATTCATCTCTCTCTCTCAAAAAAAAATAGTGTTCTCCTTTAAATGTGACGGTGCATACGATAGCAAAAAAAAAAAAAGAGGGGGGTGGGGAGAAAGTTTGCATGTGAGAGATTCTGGAATACACAGAGTTAATTGCTCGACAAGAAATTCTATCAGTGTTCAGAGATGATCTACATAGTTCAGAGTATAATGTAATATGCTCCTCTTAAAGAAAGTTGTCAGTGTCTGATGGGTTTTTATTACAATTGCTCACTATAAAACGCACTATTTAATTACTAGCATGAAAGTGATTCTAGCATAAAGGAAGAAGGGGAAATGAGACCTCTACACCTTTTCAACAGTTAATGCACTTGTGCACATAAAAATACAATGCTTTTTCATACTTATTTTTAATGATGCATTGCACTTTTTTACATCTATGGAATGTAATTTCTCTGTTGATGTCTTTAGATATGATGCAATACCAAGCAATATATGATTACAATGGATAATTTAAATAAATCTAAAATTCTTAAGATATTGGTCAAGAAGAGATTAGTGATTTTGCACCCCACTTGACAGTCCATTAAATGGCACACTACTAAGTGCTCAGCTTCTAAAATAAGCCATCTTTCCCAAGATATTTCATGTTGAACTTCTAAGATCAGACAACTTTCCAAAAGGCTGAATTAATATTTCTGCAATGCTGTGTAGAATCTGGAACTTTACTTTTTTTTTTTTTAACCAGCCAACCAGATTTCAAAGCATCCCTTCTTGGAGATTATACAGATACTGTAACAACGTAATTGTCAAAATAAACAAACTAACACAGAACATAATGACAGAAAACACAAATATTTTCAACTGTGAACACCAGGTTCTAAACAAAGCGGAGCACAAATCACAGTTTCTGACAAACAGAGGTTTTTTGGTGTGCATTCTGGAATCTACAAACTGTAAGTGTACATGGCCATTCAATATATGGATGCACTCTCAAAGAAGTAACTGATCATAATGTCAGTTTTCCTTACCCTGACTGAAAACTCAGGGCAACCATATCCATTGGGAAAGCAGTATTATTTGGAAAGAGGCCAAGTCAGACAGATGGCGGAGAAAAGGATGTGAAATGTTCAGCGTTTGGAAAGTTTCAGTAGCAGTGTAACATTTTAAAGGACAAAGAAATTGGTCGGTCTCTTTGGCTTCTGATATTACTAAAAACAAAGAAAGGTATGGCATAAACGAAACATGTTTTTCTAGATTAAACCAAATAAATATAATCACCTGTGGTTTTGAGAAAAAGATGTGAAATATTTCTCAAACCAAGGTTTCAAAATGTATATGTTTTGTATAATATATAGTTCATATATAACAGAAAATATTTTCTTGTGTTTTCTAAATGACTATACACTGTATCAAGAAAACTTCGCCTCTTAGCTTCCTTGATTTTAAAGATAAATTTGAAATTAGGGCAATCTGATTACTATTTTCATGATCTGTATGACCATCTGTAACTTAAAACTTTTTAACTATGATAAGAACGAGACAGATACAGTTCAGGTGTGCGATCAGCAGGCTATTCACTTCAGACCACTGCTGTTTATCTGATGTAGTGCTGCTCACCAAAATCGAGATAAACGAGCAGATACTGTCTGTTTTCATGTTTCGTGCACTGAGTTTATAGATACCCAGTGAAACCCTAAAGATTTAACCAGATCTAATCAAGGTATTAAACAATGATTCAAGCAGACCCGTTTCTGTTGCCAACAACCAAAAAACTGTTGATGTGGCTCTATAATCCAGTCAATTTGACTCCCACCTGAGTGACTCTGGGAGATGAATAAACTTGGGAGTGAAACTCTTGACTCCTACAACTCCACCCATAGTGCTCAGGGAGATAGGTGGCAGCTAATAATGCAAGAAGCATCTGCTCAGACATTGGGGGAATCCTGGCGAACTACAGTGAAATCAGTTTTCTTTTACAGACTCTCTGAACCATTCAGGAAATAATTTAGATAATCACATTATCAGGTCTCCTGCAAACATTTTTATATTAAACCCAAGTCATGTATGTGTACATACTTTTTGTATTGGCTCCTATCCAGCTCAAACACATGGGCAATATGGAACCCACTGTGACAGCCATCATGCTATACAATTATTTTCATTTGTGCTGCCACAAATAAAGAAGTAAAGATAAAAGTGGTACCTCTGGTACGAAATCTAGCTTTTGTTGTTAAGATTATTTCCTTGCCCAGTGACATAAAAGTGATCAGTATGCCATTATGTGGATAAAACAATTAAAAAGTTTCTCAGAACTAACTCTGTCATCTTGGACAACAAAATTACCGCTGCAAGGAGCCACCAGCACATTTGTTTTCATTATTACCAAATGTACCATCCTCATCAAAATGATAATTTGACAGGGTTTTTTTTGTTCAACTCATGACAATTTATCCATGTCAGTGTTTATTATCTTACTGTCATGAAAGCTTCTCTACAGACTGCCAGTGCATTATCTATACATGAGTTTAAAGCAGTATTTTGCCTGATCAGAAATGCCAAGCAAGTTCTCGTTTTGCATTTGCCAAAATTATTTTGTAATAGGCCACTGTTTCTTTTTTCTTAGAAAGCAGCCTATACTGAATCTTTTCTTAAAACATCAGATAGCCAATGCATCTACTAGATTACTATAGTTTCATTGGAGTACAGTGCCATAGTTTCAATGGAATGTATCTTGGGACAAAAATTTTGGCTAGCTGTAATGAAAATAAGTATCAAATCTTAACCATATTTTCCATTAAATTCTTTAATCAATTCTTAGATGTCATGCGTTTTGTTCACTTAGAAGAATATAAAGCTGGAAAAAAAACAGGTTTATTATTAGCAAAACAGGAAGATTCATAAATGCTGAGTCTCAGCACAAATCTGAACATTTTACATACTACTCTGGAAAATCTGCAAAGACATAGCAAAATATAACTACAAGATATAGCCATGTAAAGAAATACAGAGGACTACATTAGTGACCAGTGTCCAGTTATGAGGGAATTGGATTTCTGGCTGCAGCTTGTTCCTTTGAATTCCTCCCGTCTTTAAAAAAAAACTCCTATAATCTCTGTTGAACATTTCCTAATCACCAGCAACCCTCAGTATGTTCACCTTCATATGATGATGCCATGTACTCTCTAAAGTTGTTTTCATTTCTTCTGCCTGAAATTTTTCTGAGGTACAGCAGCCCCTGACTCAGTTGGCCTCAACTGTCAGCAAGACTTTTTTTGATGCCCTATTCTTTCTTGACTTGAGGTTTAACATTTTCTTTTACTTCTAATATCTGTTTGCTTTTGTAGGGTCTGTATGGAGAAATCCCTGTGACTGCCCTCCGTCTTGCCAGCCCTCTATCAGGCATTTTGTTTCTTTGTACTCCCCCATTCATGCTCGAAATCTCTAACCTTACACCTATGGTGCAGCTTCTTTGGGCCTCCGTCCTTGGTTAGTATTCCCCCTGAAAACTCCAAACATTACCTCCTTTGACTTCAAATAGAAACTCCTCTAGTGGACACTCACGACACAAATTACCTCAGTTTCCCAGCACCTGCATCTTTCTGAAAATACGTTTTCATCTACTCTCTGAAAACTCCCTCTGAATTACTAGCGGATGATCACTGTGGCTGACATAGAGCTGTCACTCTCCCCATCCTTCTCTCTCCGAGTTAACCTTGCACATCTTCTGTCATAGCCACAGTAATACTTCCATCCTGCCCATTGCTCAAACACATAATCCAGACATCATCTTCAATTTAGACTTCTCTATAGGTCTATACAGCCTTGCTGGTTAGTGCTTGAGATATTTTTCCCACTTGTCCATATAGATAAAAGTCTTCTCAAAGTTCCCATCATCTCCCATCTTGGCTAGTCCAGTATTGTTTCTTCCAATCCTGCCAAATGCCACCTTTTTAGATTGTCAAATGAGAACACATGCACTTTATCCTACACCTGGGAGGAGCTTTCCAGAAATACGTGTGCAGGATTCTATCTTCAAATCATTTTCTTCAAACTCTCTTTTAGCACAGTGTCAATTAAATAAATGTTGAGAAAACTGCCATGCTATGCTACCAGAATTGCACTGTCATTGGGTCCTTCTGTTTGCCTGTCTCCGTGTCCACTTGCTGTCATCTCATTTTACACCTACACTGCAAGGTCTTTGGGCCAGGGACAGCCTCTTGTGTTTGTATAGTGCCACCCAGAGCAAAGCCCACTTTATGATTAAGAATTCTGCAGAACACAGACCAGTATTGCAAATTACAGCAAAGTGTCACTGTGGTGAGAGCAGCTGTCTCTGTCAACATAGCTTTCCTTACCGCAGAAGGGAGAGAAACCCCAGCAGACCTTTCTTCCCACACTTGTCTGCTTGCATCTTCTCTTAACAAAACAGTGTCTGCTTGACTCTGAGGCAGTTTCTCCAAGGGACACATCAGTGTCTCACACTTTGAAGCCTGTCTTGCAGTCAACCAGTCCTTTTTCCCTCTTCAGAGAAGGAATAACGTAAATCTTTAAAGGATACAGCAAACAAAAAGTGTCAAAACAATCAGGGGCCAGATCCAGAACCTATTATGTTTAAAGAAAATGCTAAATTTACTTCAATGGGCTTTGACAAAGGTCTGCTGTTATATAGAAAAACAGGCTTTGGGTGAAATTAGTCGAGTCATCACAGTAAGAAGCAGAGTCCCACCACTTCCAGTCCCAAGTTATCCAGCGATTCCCAGCCACCTGCTGGCAATTCACACTGTCTCTCTGGGCTGCCTTCCTGTAAAACTAACATATTCCAGCTGTTCTGTGGTCCCAGGCCTTAACCCTTGCCTCCTCTTACTAAGTATTTACTGTCTTCTTTTGCATCTTCCCTTTTCCTAAGCAACTTCAAGTCTCGCTCTTTATTCAACTCTGTGATGAGGCCTAAGAAAAAGGGGAGCCATTTATATTACAAAGTAAAACAAACAAGCAAATGAGACCCAAATTGGGAACTTCTTGCTTTGAATTCAAGCAATTCTGTAGGGGTGAATAAGACAAAAAAAAAACCTAGCCCTGTTCTGAATCTGAATATTTTGCAACAATTTGGTATTCTAATGGGAACATAAAAATAAATTATAAACAGGTCTTTAGCACTGCCCTTTCAAATTAATATTTTGGGAAATAAAATTAGTCCTTGACACCCAAGCTTATATATATACTCTATATATACTTTTCATATATTTATGAATATATACTTCCTTGTTCTAGTTCTATAGGAAAATTGCTGCTTTGGTATATTTATAATATGATATTAAAGCAGATATAGCCTTAGCGCTGTTGCCGTGTGTTACTGGACATCATGACAAAAAAAGTCAAAGAAAAAAACCCTACAGTTTCTTTATGAAAATAAAAAAATTAGAAAAAAAAGTCTTATTTTGCTTTCACTAAACTAACCAAAAAAGTATGACAAGAATTTTGTATGTGTCTTCTTGTCATCCACTTCTGTTCCCAAACACTATGGTTTATACTGATAATCAGATACAGCACACAGAATGAGTAGTTATTCTTCAGCTCCATCTGTGGTTCCCACCTACTAGGGGAAGGGTACGTAAGTCCTTGGTGCCATTAATTCTTCAAGAAGATTGCCTTACTTTGCTGCTTTTCAAAATACATTTTCACATCTTCAGGCACTGTGTGTGGCCAGCCATCATAACTGTTTCAGTTGAAAGGAACATGAAGAATCTGTCAATAAGTCAAACACAGGAAAATAACTGGGGTTCTAAAATGTGAATCTGGGAGATGGTGGGGAGAGAATACATACACTTCTGAAAGAAGCCTCTCAGGAATAAGAGGTAGTGCACAGAGACCAAGATAACATGGTAACATACATTTATATGTATAAATATACCCTCTCACATTCCAGCTGTTCACATACGAAGAATTAATTTATGTTCTGCCTGTTCTGTGGCAGGACATACACAGTTCATATTACAAAGTCATTAGCTGATATACCTTATTGCAGAACTATTGTATTCTGTCAAATTCCTACAAACGGAAGCACTTAGGGCTGTAAATAAAATATCCACGACTGGTAACATTGACTTGCACATCCTCAATCTTTAAAAATACTTTTAAAATTATATATTACTTCTAAAGGCATCAGGAACTGTACAGCATGGAAAGTAATTAGAGCATTGAATATCCATAGGAAGTACTTTAACAGATATAGAAAAACAGGGATAAAATGGATTACCATAAAGCATGCAGGAATTGTTTCAGAGATGTCTCAAAATTTTGCAATTGAATTCTGAAAGAAACAATGAGCAAATATGGGAAATCCTATGCAAACCACATAAACATTACCATAAAGCATGCAGGAATTGTTTCAGAGATGTCTCAAAATTTTGCAATTGAATTCTGAAAGAAACAATGAGCAAATATGGGAAATCCTATGCAAACCACATAAACAATTCTGTGGATGAGGACTCATCTTCTCTGCAGAGCTCATATCCAGAGGCTTTTCCCTGCCCCTAAGGAAGACAATCAGTGAGATATGGAATCTATTTTGGATATTTATTTCCTGATTAAATATAAATTATTCCTTGGTTCCTTTCACTTTTTGTCATTTGGGAGCTTTAGGTCCTGCTTCTTAAGCTCTCAAAACTCAAGAGTCCATTTGAAAGTTTTCACTATGAGTATCTTTTGAAAGAAGGATGACAGTAGTGTCTATCAACCTAAACAAAAACTGACTTTCAAGACAGTTAAAATAGCAGTCACATGGGTTTTGGTACGTGCTTCGTTTGAAGATGCTAAAACCTTATGTCTAAAAAGTGGGAATTTGAGGAGAAGTACTGATTTTAACCCAGAGTTACCCATTTCTCTGATTTATTTTTCTATTTGACTCTTTAGGAAGATTTATAGGGAAACTGAAAACATGAATTTTTTACTGAAACTTTTTTTAATGGAAATTGGTATCTTAGCAAAATAGCCTTCAATTGCCACGCTCTTAAAATGACTGCAGGAAGACCAAGGTATGGGGACACAGGGCAAGAGGCCTAACTTCGCCTGTTTTCTTCACCATTTTTAGTAAATGGTGCCCTTACTATAAGCAAGGTTGATATATAGTGATGATTACATCCTTCTAATATACCGTACAACAATGAAGTTTAACAGAGATGCTTTAGCAAGCTCTTGCAAAGCAATGTATCAGCTTCTAAAAGCAGAAACTGACCAGTATGTAAGGGCACAAATTGCTATTACAAGTTGACAAGTAAGATGTTTAAAAGCATTTAAAAGTCCTGCTCTCTGGGCTAGCTGACATTTTCTGAAGATATTTTCTAATATTTTTCTTACTCAGATGGCTTCAAATGGTGATTTGGGCAGCTGGAACCTGGGGGCATATTTGCTTCATTACATACATTATTTTGTCAGCTGGAGCCGATTTTTTGTTAATATACAGATGGACACAGAAAACCTTCAAAGACTTTACAAATATATTTTGTTTAAAATGTAAATATGACCCTGGTATCATTAATAGCCAAGCTAGCTTGTTTCTCTTCACATTCTACGCCTTATATGCCAATAATCTCAGGGCTTTATTTTGCTTGATATAAATTTTCATTAAGCCTGAGGAGGGCTCTTTCTGTCTTTCCTGACTGATTCAGGTTTAATTGGCCTCTAAGGATAGTAAGCTGCTTGAGGGTTCTTTCAGAATCTGTGTTCCTCTGCTGCTTTGCCAAATCATCTTTTTTTTTTTTTTTAATTTCATCCAGCAATTTGTTTCTATCAGGTCTTTTCTCCATTTTCCCTGCCACAGACAAAGCTGCTACATTTTTCTTCTGTCATTATACTTTGTAAGTTTTCTCCCCCACCAGTGTTCTCAGAAGAAATGCTGTTTTTCAGGTAGCTCTACCTTTTATTTCAGAGTCTATTATGATACATCCTAAAAAAGGTTTAGTCAGGAAAATTTTGCTATCTGTCTCTACTCCAGTCTAACTGAATCTCCATAATAGATGTGTGAGTTGATCATGCTATTTAACCTCTTTCCAGCAAGGCCAAACCAACTGTAAGGAAGTCAGAACATAATTGAATCTAAGACAGAGGCAGTATGAAAAATATGGAAAACCAAAAACCCCCTCATACATAAAGAATTGAAAAATAATACACAGAAAAGCGCTTTCTTTTCAGCTTGCTTTCTCTTTCTTAATAATCACATAGAATTCCTGGAGCTTTTTTCCCTTCTTTTTAACAGGGATGACTAGGTTTCTTACACAATTTCCTTTAAACTGAATTAAGAGGTTTGCTATCATTGTGTGTTTTCCTCACTTTTCATTCTCTTCTGTATGGATACGGAAGTCTCTATTTCAGCAGTATATTATTTCCATGAGCAGTACTGGATCTATTATTTGCTTGCTGTACCTCTAATTTGGCTTTCACAGTTTCAGAAATAGTCCCAATCTGCAACTTAAGTAGCAGATTTCTAAGCTCGCAGCTCACAATTTGCTTTCTCGGGCTGTCTTTGCAGCCAGTACTCCTCAGTTCCTCTACGCAGCTTGCTTTATTTAACAAATTTCCAACCATAAAGTTTGTGACAGCCAAAGCCATCTCTCTTTACATATGGCTAAATACTCAGAGAGTCAAGCTTAGCCTGAGATGGATTCTGATCTCTCGCTATAGATACTTGGGTTTTCAGTAATGTAAACTACAAATTTTTAACCATGATATTCTCAAATACACTCTCATGTCTGCATCATTTTCATTGTGTTCAAGAGCCTTTAAAAACGGAAAAGACAACTATTCCAGAATTTGGTGAAGTTCTGAATACTGACAGAGAAATTGTAACAAGAGGAGTCTAGTTAAAGTCAGTAATTTACTGTACAGTATTTTTTATGTCTAAGAACTAAAAATTGCACAGAAAAGCTAAAAATGTATACTAAGTACTTTCTGTATCAGGGAGAGAGGGCAGAGGAAAGACTCTGGAGAGATAAAGGGAATGGGAGAGAAATAATAAGGAGGGGATAGAGAAATCAAACATTAAGACAGAGGAAAGACACAAGCCCTCTGCTTCTGACCCGAATTAAGCAGATGCTTCCCATTAAAGCAGTCATCTCAAATTAATACCTTGAATTAAATTCTCCATCCACTGAACATCAAGGAGGACATGATTCCATCACAGTCTTTGAGATAAAACCAAATAACTGAATAGATGTTTAAGACTGCTGTTAGAAATGTTTTCTGTAGTCTTTCTTGAAATGAAAAGAATGAGAGAGACGAACACAGAAGTAAATGAACAGTTTCACGCAAGTACTTATGTTTACCTGGCTAAAGAGAAGCAGGAAAGCATGTTCTCCTAACTCAGATGCTTGCTTGTAAATAGCCTTGGACCCTTATTACTACCTTTGTCTTCCCCAAAACATGCAAAATTTTCGTGCTCCAAGAAAAAAGAATCTAAGATAACAAGCAATAATATTTCATTGCCTTCAAATGGTTGCATATACAAAGGATATATAACGAAGAATACAAGATCTCTTTTATAAACAGTGAAGCCACACATTACGCGATGGCGTCAAATGCTGTACCTGTATCTCAGCCTGTCTGGAAAGTCTTGGGGTTGCAGGACCACAACACTTCACTTGTCTGCTATGCACAGATCTTCTGCACACACTAAACTGACAGATCACAAATTGTGTTGTCAGACAGAGAAACTAAACAAGAAAAAAGCAGAAAACTTTTGGCCTCTGTGGTCTTTTCCAGTTATTGCTACTTCAAGCATTTCCTTAGATAAAGCGCAGGTTAAAATATGCTCAACGAGAAATGTCATTTGAAATTGCAAGAATCCCTAAGATGTACTGAACAGTGCATTTGAAAAACAAATCACATTTTACGTGCACACACCAGTCTTTTAACATTCAGGTTGCAAACTGTTTCTATTCGACATGTCAAATGTGTGGTGGTTTTGGTGTTGTTGGTTTGGGTTTTTTAACTTGCATAACTTTATCCATTTTTTTTAAACGATTCTGTTGTAATCTTTTACAGCTGTTCACACGCTCTGGTCCCAAAATCTGCAATTTTCTCACAGTATCTGGAGATGAATTTCAAAACTAGCCTGATTTTAAAGTATTAAAAAAGTCATGAACACTGGGAGAAATTCATTCAAACTACTTACTCAATAAGTGTTTCACCTGATTTTTTGTTGCATTACACTGAACTCAGCTTTACTGTGGTGATCACCCACACATGTCATAAAAGTAGATGTAAGCCTTACCATAACAAAAGCATAAAACTTGTTTGTAAGCAATAAATTATTTATGAATTTGCACACTTAATTGTATTTTTTATAAAGGGGGGGTCTCTAATTGTATAGGCTTTATTGCATGAAATTATATGGACTGTGATACCCTATATGATGACTGGACAAGAGACATCCACAAATAGCCCTTTTAGCTTACTTATCATTGGCAGACGTAAAGATCCCTCAAAGTGACATCAGGCCACAATTAACTCTTTTGCCCCTTTTATGTGTTCAACATTCAAGAGCAGGGTCCTCATTTTCTTCATACTGCTCCTCCCATAAGCAGGACAAAAAAAAAGTTATGAATATTTCTACCCCAGAGCTTTCTGCCTCCCACAAATAGACACGGAAACATCTGTTGCTCTTGCTCGTAAGAGGCAGGAGGAGCAAAGGGGCTTCTTTGGAGAGCTGCAGAAGAGGCATGTGTTAAGTGAGGCTGAAAATGAATGCAGTAGGAGGTTTAATGCTGGAAGTGGCGGTTCACCTCCCTCACTCTGCTCCTGATGTCGGACCTCATCCACAATTGCTCTGTATTCCTATTTGACATCATACACATACCGAGAGGGAAAACTGTAAAATATGCCAGGTCCCTCAAATCTCCCACATTTGAAATCTCCCATTGCTATTCCTTCCTCTGAGTCACAAAATGCATTAAGTATTGATATAATTTTAAAAGGTGTGCTATTTACAGGAAAGACTTGAATGGCTGCTTTGGAAGCATTTCAAGCTGTCAAACAATTATATATTTAGGGCAAATTACATTTAGTAAAAACAGCTACAGACACACATGGAAAAATTATGAATAAATCCCATTATCTCAGACAGCAGCTTTGCCACAAATAATCCTAGATGGAATTACACATTTAAGCCAAAAACACGAGGCACTGGCCTGCACATGACACCCCCTCACAGCTGCAGTGACCCTCTTAACCGCCATGGCAGCACTCTGACAAAACACCACTTAAAAACAAAGCCCAACACTGACCAAAAGTCACTTAAAAACAAAACTCAACACCACATGCTCACACCCTTGGCTCGCACCCCCACCAGACGCATCCCACCCTCAGCCCCACATGCCACCTGATGAGGGCGATGGGGGAGCAGGGGGAGCTTGAGGCCCCACGGCTAGGCTGTGGATCCCCTGCTGCAGGCAGGACCCGGGCCAGCCCTTTGGACCGGTCTCCAAAATAAATAATGTTACTCAATTTGTGCTGCCTGTGCGTGTGTACGTCTGTGGAGATGGATGCAGCACAGCTGTGGCAGTGTGAGGAGGTCTGTGGGTCCTTTTGTCTGGCACAAGCGTCCCTGTGGTGTCTAGGCCTATGCTGCTGTCGCTGGCCAGCTATGTCTATGGCCTTACGTGGCAGGGGAGATGCGGAGACCAGCTCTAGCCACAGCAGGCAATCAAAGCTTTTGTGGTGGAGGGAACTGAGAAACAGCCTTCTCAGACAACAAATAAAGCCAACATGCAAAGGAGACATAAAAGACAAGAGGCAAACATTGATTTTGCCACAGGACCAAGCCCCACTCTCGTATTTAGTTTCCAATCCAATTCCTAAATGCTGCTATCCCTGCATTTAAAATGAAAGAACAGAATTACCTCATAGCAGCCTTCTAGCATTTGAAGGGGGGCTATAGGGATGCTGGGGACGGGCTCTTCATTAGGGACTGTAGCGATAGGACAAGGGGTAACGGGTTAAAACTTAAACAGGGGAAGTTTAGATTTGATATAAAGAGGAAGTTCTTTCCTGTTAGGGTGGTGAGGCACTGGAATGGGTTGCCCAGGGAAGTTGTGAATGCTCCATCCCTGTCAGTGTTCAAGGCTGGGTTGGACAGAGCCTTGGGTGACATGGTTTAGTGTGAGGTGTCCCTGCCCGTGGCAGGGGGCTGGAACTAGATAATCTTAAGGTCCTTTCTAACCATAACTATTCTACGAGTCTATGATTCAGCCAGACACCACCCAAGCAACAGCTCACAGTTCAGTCTTCAGCACACAGCTGTTCTCCATCATAAATCGCCTTCAATTGTGTATATTACCAGATACAAGCTTTATTAGCCCTCAAGCAACAACACATATCTGTGGCAAACCTTCATCTAGCATGTGCTCTTGCTGGGTTTATGGCATATGGTGACCTGTCAGGAGAACTATGACAGGAAAGGGAGGTGCACAACAGCAGTAAAGAAAAAAAGCAGTAAAGACTGCTATGGAAACATCACAAATGCCAGAAAGCTCTACGTAGCACTCAAAGTTTGCCTTCTGGCCCCTTTCCTCGCTTTATCGCATCTCATCTGATCCGTCTACAGCATTCATACTTGTCTGGAACCTGGACCCCAGAAGGTTTCAGTGGAGGGTTCAGAGATTAGGACCCATAAACTATACAAACTCTCACTGTTGTGCGTCTCCACAGCCTTCTGCGGTCCTGCTCCAAATCCCTTGTCCAACACATCTGTTCATAGCTCTTTGCTGCCATCCTTACTTGGTTCTAACATTTCACATGTCTTCCTAGCAGCCCATAGACTGTGCCCCAGGAGCACTACTTTATTAACTTCTTGTTCAGTGGCTAACTAACACTGTAACTAACAAGCTGCTTGTTACCAGCCCACTTACCTCAGCTCTTACCCACTCCCCAGTTCTGCTCTTGACAACATGGTGGTGCTGCCACACAGACCTGTATCTGCTGTAGCAGGGGTCCCAGCCAGGGTCCAAGGCTTACACAGCAAGGGATACAGCCATGACAGATTAGCTTGTGCTCAACACTCCAAAACAGGCAGAGTGTGACCTGAAACAGTAGGAGCTCAGGGCTGGTAGAAGGTCCCAGTGCAGGCTGCAGCCAACCGAACAACACAAGACATCTCTTCTTCCCTTTCCAGAGCCATCATTTTCACCACTAAAACTTCCAGTAGTACCACCTGCAGTACTGGAACCAGACTACAGTACCATGGGAAAGAAAGGCTTGCAGAATGCACACACACAGAGAAAAAGTCTCCAAAACCCACAGAAAGTAGAAGCAATAGGATTTTGTTGCATTCAGCCACCTTCCCTACATACTGACAATGACTCATGCAGTGGCCTAGGAGAGGATAGAAAGCAGGATCCAATTTAGCCAGTAAACGTAGATCATTCTCATCAGAAACTTCACCATGATGTCTCCACCATAGGGTGAGCAGATGCACAGAATCCAAATGATTTTTCCTGCAAACCTATACTAGGGTGTCATTTCTTAACACAGCAGCCATGGTGCTTGCAACATGATGGAGTAGACTGTTATTCTCCCAAGTGTTTGACTGCCAAATCAAAACACAGTCTGATGGAGGGAAATAAAAAAACAACAAAACAGTTAGGAAGTATCTGTGATGAAGTAGCCATTTGTGGGCTTTGTGCATAAATTACAAATAAAGTTCTGTGAGTATCTTGCATAGGGGAGTAAGTTCTAAAGAAACAGAAGGAAGAACTTAAAAATGTGGGTGGCCCAACATATGTGAAAGTCAGGGACTCCTTTGGATAACATAACGTTTCAGAGATATTTTATCCATGCCTGGCACGAAGCTCAATGATCTCTCTGAGGGCTCTTTTCCTGTCAGAGTCCTTATTTGAAAGACCTTTCTGGAGAAAGGTGTGTTGGAATATGATACTACTAATCAACTAATCATTACTGCTTGAAAATTACTTGCTACAGTGATCTAGCAGCCTGTAATCCTTGGTATTGTTCTTCAAGTAGTTTTGTGAAAAATGCATGTTTTAAGATATACAGAGAAGTAAATCTTGTTCTATGTGTTAGGCATGCCACTAGCATGAGATTTGAGCTTTCAAAGGGAGCTGAAAAGCTGTGCGCAAACAATAAAGAGTCACAAGTCTTGCTTTGGAACTTTTTCCTGCTGGTGTCCCTCTCATGTTGAGTTCAAACTCTGCGCAATTGGTCTGTTTGAGAAAGCATAGCAGGGGAAGGAAAGTTATTTCCTTGCAGATAATTTTCAGAGCATTCTTCTGCCAACTCAGCAATGATAGGGCTTGAGAATGTGTACCAACTTGTGTGGACAGGGGCTTGGCCAGCCTCAAGATGCGAAAGTCAGTTCAGGAGTTACAGAGAGTCTCTGGTTTGAGTCAGAAATGCCTTTTCGTTTGTTTCATCATTATGTAAACCTATGTAGAACCCCTTTTATAAAATATTTCCTTTTGATACAATCTTTCAGAAACTAGAGCACAGAATAACCTGACACAAACCACCAATGCCCCCCTGGTGTGGAAAATGGGTGTGATTCCTGTCTAGTAGAGACACTAAGAGAGCACAGGGTTTCTCTTTACTGTGTTACCAGAGAAAAGCAGCAGACATTTTTTTTACATGTTCCTTCATTTAAAATAAGCAAACCTTAAACCTTCTTTGTATGGGCAATTTTAGGTCCTAATAAGCATCAAACTATGGGATTTACCATACAAAGTTTGAAGCTAACTGTAACTGTTAGAGAGAGTGAAGACTTACCACTGAAGTGAGGAAACACTGTCAGGCACATTTCTGACTTTCGGGTGAAGAATCTTCAAATAACATACTACCCCCCTACACATAACACAAAACATAGAAAATCTTGTATCCAACACAATACATCCTGTATGGTGAACCTAAAAATCGAGTTATGTTCACATTTTATACATAGTTATTTTCCAGGTACAGAGTCTGAGGTACTGCAAAAAGGCATGCAGCCCAATTCTAAGCTAGGGGCCAACTTGAATCTTTCAACTGCTGCAAAACCCCAACATCACACTGAAGAGCTTTTTTACTCTTACCCTGTTTTTCCTTTGCTTGTGGTCTCTTGCTGGTCTCAGGAACTGGAAAGGACAGATGAATCTGGAAGAGGTGAAGGCTCCCACACACCACTGCTTCACTACCAGGAAGTGATCACAGGTTCTTGTGATAAACTAC